AAATATATATATATATATTTGTGCTGATAATCCTGAGTGGTCTGTTGACTGACCTTTGTATTTGTTCAAATAATTGTTATGGGCAGGTTACAATATAAAAATATTTGTCATAATCATGTCTTGTGATGATTTGACAGGAGTTTTACTTTTAAACTGTAAGTGAATTTAATTTAGTTATGTTGGTTATGATAGTTTAGTTATGATGTAAATACAATAAAAAATAAACCGAGATTTAGAATAATTATCATTTTGATCCATACATTGTTAAAGTCTGACTGGGCCTCGGGCCACTTTATGTTCAATAAACTGGGCCCCGAGGTCAAACAGGTTAAGAACCCCTGGTTTATCCTTTGTGAAATGTAATTGTCTTGCAGGAGATTCCCATGCTTGTGCAAAAAGTTGTAAATTATGCAACCGTCAACAATCTATTCAAGATTACAGACTTCCTGTTTTGGAGGATGAGTTGTGCAGAAAGTGCTACAGGTGCAGCCAGCTGACCAGGAGAGGATGAAATGAAAGAGACGTGCAGCGTAACAAATGAAGCAACTGCAAGACAGATCTTTGTCTTTGCACGCCGTTCTTCGGATAATAAAGCTAAGGTTCGTGGCTGCGKAGACATATTTCAGCTGAAATGCGATTCTGCAGAAACATCCTCGACACGGCAGGACATGCTAACGTCTTTCTGCGCAGACAGAAAAATTAGAGTCCTGGATGTGGTGCACRTCTCTGAGCTCACTGATGAGACGATGATGATGATGGAAGCAGTGAGGAACTCTGTCTCAGACCACCGAACCACACAGATCTAACCCCCCGTCTGCCTGGTCGAAATGAGGGTTAGGATCTATTTTTTGATGCACAGGATATAAATGTATTTGAATCAATTTATAAACATTAAGAATTGATTATTTTTTTTACGTTAGCATCCTGCAAACGGTCGAAATCTGATATGAAGCGACTCGCCGTGACTGTTTATGACGTGAGGAGCAGGATCTTCTGCACTGACGGCCGGTTATTTCTGCTTCTATGAAGTTACGATCATGTTCAYAAGAGCCACACTATATGTAAGATGAGAAGAAGAAATATTATGAATACAATTTTCTGAGCTTTGAGCACAAAAATGGAGCAATACTTTAAAAAAACTGGTCAGAAACACTGTGATTGTACGAAAAATGCACCTATTTTTTTTCTCGATTCTGAGTCCTCAACATGTCTTCAACAGCCTGGTGAGAGAGAACTAAAGAGTTACAGGTACTTAGCAAAACAATAGGCATGCGTGGCAAAAAAACACAAATCAGTGAGTGGACAGGAAGGCTGCTGAGGACAGCTGAGACTAATGAGAATGGGGAACAGGTGTGGATTGGAGGAGCGGAGACTAACTGTGGAAAAGTACTGGTGGCACAGGGAGGAGGCACGACAAAGACGACCAAACAAGGGACAAACATGGAAACAAGACAAAAACATACAGATCATATCTGGAAACTCTAAAAAATTAAACATTCGGTGGATAAATCAGATTCTAAACAAACTGCCCCCAGGATAAAACAGAGAGCAAAACCTCTTTATTTCCAAAACAACACCACAGTGAGTCATCTTTGTTTTTTTCTCAATGAATTCAACATTTCAGTAATAATGGATTCCCCTTGAGGAACTGRTCCGGCATGAGGGGGGAACTCAGCCAGTTTTTTTCCATGTGGGATCCATAAAGCGTTACCCATTAGCTCAATGTGGGCCCCATGTGTGTTTGAGGATCCACAGACATGGAAGTAACGTCCACAACCGAGCTGTTGGGAGATAATTGCTGGTTAAACACTGCTCTGACCGTGTTTACCGTTTCAGTAATGACTAAACGATTTTCCAGCGGAGCGAGATGGTGCGTGATGATGATCTAGTGAAGAAGTGACACAGAGACAGTTTATTCATGGGGTTTGAATGTTGCAGATTTTATTTCTGAGCTTTTTGTGTGTGTGTGTGTGTGTGACGAAATTCAGAAACAATAAAATATCTGCAATTAAAGTTGTGATGCATGAAATGGATCAGGGCCACCATCCTGCACGTTTTAGATGTGGTTCTGCAGAACTCCATATTCTGCATGTTTCAGTGTTTTCTTACAGAGAGTGGTTATTTTAATTCTGACACGAATCAGATGAGAAATATTAAGTTGATGCATGATAACACAACTGATCAATTCATTAAAATGCAGCTCAGGTTCTTGCACGCAGCTGGAATATTATATAATAATAAAACCTCACATATCCTCTACCGCAGGTGCTCCCACACTTTTCAGCTTTTCACCCACAAAATAGCAGCAGCAGAGAGCTGTGCCCCCAGCTTATTTTATGAGGGGCATCAGGTCAAATAAACAAAGCATCAATATTCATTATCTAATTTTAGGCACACTAACCTCACCCTTTTGTTCAATTAGGACAAAAAAAAGTTGCTAGTGGTCATTTTAAAATGTAAATATTCATAAAAAAAAATTTTGTCAAAACCCCCCCATGACCCACAATTCATTCAACTCATTAGTATATTACATTTAAATTCATGATTTTCCCTCATAAATCTGCATAACAAATAAAAACGTACACAGCTCAACAATTTGTGCTTCTTTTTTTATTTATTTATTGTTTATTTGGAGTTCTGAAATTATCTTTAAATTAGATGTTTGTATCTTAAAATCCTAATCAGGACAGTTATGAAAAACTGTTACTTTTCTTTCCCTGCCTATTGATAAATTACATTAACAGATTAAAATGATTCAAAACTTTAAAGTTTGCAGCCTCAATTAGGTCTATATCGTTAATTAATGCACTAATTAGTTCTATTGCTTTAAAAAAACTGCTCTGTGAGATCAGCTGCAGGATCCATTTTCAGGCTGGTTTATTCATTTTCTGTACCGGGTCGGTTCTAATCCTCCGGTACCGAGAGTCCTGTCTCTGCAGCTGCTGTGAACTTAAAACGATCGGTTCTTTTACCTGTTCGGTTCCTCAGACCGAGGCTTCCTGCAGCTCCATGTTGTCCAGCTGACAGAAGAAGAAGAAGAAGATGATGTTTTCTCTCCAGGTCCGCAGGCTCGAGCCCCGCTGCTGCCGGCGCGTTTCCGGTACGGAGTCAGGAAAAAAAAGAAGAAGAAAAAAAAAGTCCCGGCAATGTTCCACCTTCCTCGCGGCCACGCGCACCAGTGCGCACACATTTTTGGAGAGCTGAGGGCACGAGGGGCACTGTGATAAGGCTGAGTGTGCACGTGCGCGTCACACGAGGTGAAGCTGATTGGCTGTGCAAATTATGTTTAATTAAATTAAAGTAAAACTGAATTTAATATATATAATTAGTCTGTTCGGATCAAAGTGTTTTTAAACCCGTCCGGAACACCCCCCATGTTCTTCTGGAGCCCCCTGGTGATCAATACAAATAAAAAATAAAAATAAATCTGTGCTCCTGAATCACAACAGCTGCTCCAACAAAACATTTAAGATATAGTTTTGTTTGGTTTTGTCACAATTAATCAATCCTTGTCTGAAACTTCCACCATGATTTCACAGATTTAATTTAATTTAAACTGATTCCACTCAAACTGCACCGTTTTCTCAGAGATTTTCACAGATTATCACACAGACCCACAAAAAACAACAGCGAGAGGCAGGTTTAAAACTTAATAATCCAACTAAACAAGGACATAATGACTTSTGTGTTGATTACTTGTAATAAAACCTGCCTTTGTTTGGACTCGTGGTTTCTGAAGGTTATTTAAGGCGACGTTTGATCACACATGGGGTCTTAATCTCAACACACTGGATTAACAAACAGCAGATTGAATCAAATGGTTCATTTTCGTTTCTCATTTTGCAACATTTCTGCAGCCTTTGTATGAAAATCAGGCTCACATCATTTGGTAGCAAAATCCTGAAATTAAACAGTAAAAATCTAAATGGTGCATTTTTATGTGAAACATTTTTATTAAATACTTGAGAGTTTTGTGTCGTTGTGGAATAAGTAAAAGCAAATTGACGCAGCATCAGACCAAATGTTGAATTTTTGAGTTAAACAATTATAATTTTAACTCGAAGTTAAATTAGAATAAACGTCAACAAGGTAAACTTTGTAAAAGAATGTCACTAAAGCACTGAAATCGATTTAGGGTTGAATAAACACCCATAATTAGCTGATTATGGCTTGACATGAAATAATAATAATAATAATAAGTTCTGAAGCTTCTGAGAGTTTAGTTTACAACAAATGTTGTACAAAGAGGTGATAAAATATTAYRTTTGTTTAATAAATCAGGTTGCTGTTTAACATGAAGCACACAGAATTATGCAATAAGTGAGTAATTGACATGTTTTATCCACATTCCTGACCTGTTCATGTTTAATGATTTAACAACCTGTTATTAACCTTTGACCTTTGATTGCTAATGGCTGGCCTTCTTGGAACTTTCTGCAAAATATTTTTGTTTTTCTTAACCAAGTTTGGAAAATGCAAATCTTGACAGTGTAAAGATTTTTTTTGTCAAGTTAGAAACACAAAGAATGTGCGTCAAAAAAAAAAAACTGTGACATTACTGCTGCTGTTGATAACGTTAATGCACAACACACACGCACACACACAGGRCCCACTGAGTGAGTGGGTCTTTGAACAGGATACACCCGGTGGACCAGGAAGCCACTTAGTGACACACAAACACAAAAAACTCTCCCTCTCTGTACCTCTTCCTGGAAATGATCACCACCCACACACACATATAAACACACACACACAAGCATGCACTTCAACACACATACACTCCCTGCCCTCCTCTGTGTCTTGTTAATGAAAACACTCGTTTGTGGATGTTTCCCTCGTCTGAGGGCACATGTTGCAAACCAAAGCACCTCGTGAACGCCATCACTCCTGAACACAGAGGGTCGCAGGAAATGACTCCACTGGGTTTCCTCTGTACAACAATTTAACAACACTTTGTTTATAAAAGGGGGAACACTGATTAAATCACCCAGAAGCTCCGCCCTCTCCTTTCAGATGACATAAAACAAACAAAATCTGCAGTTCAATTACGTAAAGTTATGAGTAGTCAGTATGTTACGTGCAGCACCTCAAAACTTTGGCACTAATAACCACGTGCGTTAAGAGCTCATTAAAGAGTAACTTACCCCAAAATTAACTTTTTTTAGCTGATAAACTGTCTAGAATGTGTCTAAAATGTTATATAGTACTGTTTCTGTGCTAATGTTGATGTTTTTGTGCGTATTTGTTCAAATCTGTAATATTTGGTCTAAAAACATCTTTTTGCTGCTCATATGGGTAGAGC